TCTCTCTCTCTCTCTCTCTCTCTCTCTCTCTCTCTCTCTCTCTCTCTCTCTCTCTCTCTCCCTCTCTCTTTCTTGCTATCTCACTCTCTATCTTTCTTTCTCTCCCTCTCCCTCTCCCTCTCCCTCCCACACTTGTGCGGTGATACACAGCTAGATCGTAGTGTTCCAGTGTTCTAGTGTTTACTTGAGTTTTTTTCTAGTCAGTTTTTTATTCTCTTTAGTTGGATCGATTCTTTTCGTTTGTCGTTGGTTACTTTGAGTCCGGCTTGGATCTCTATCGGAGTGTTTGGTGTATTTATTTCCATCGCAGAGTTGACGTGGGCATGATTGTTGTTAGCTTAGGATTGTGAAGCTTCCCAGCACAGCAACAGCAATGTGGCTTGCCGGTGTGTGTAGTGTGTTGTTGTAGTTCACACCCACCGACCACGGTGAGGAGAAAGGATGGTTACTCCGCACTAGCTTGCACAGTCACTGCAACCAGCATGATTGCTAATCAGTAATCACACACTGTTACTACTATTGATGCGAGAGAGGGTGGAGGTTTCAACCAATGATCGTTTGAACCAATGATCGTTCGAATGATTGAACAATCATTTGAACGTGTACTTGTCAGATTTTTATGGAATTTTTGTGGATTTCTGCGATTTCGTGCTTCATGGAGTCTTTATACGTGTGTGAGTTGTCTGGACTTGTTGGGCAGGCTCTGTGTATGAACCCGTTTTTATCGGTCAATAGCAATATAGCAAAACGTCGTAGCGATTGATCTGAGGTGATACTGCAAATATTTATAAGTACAGCAGTGCAAAATGAAATTCGATTTAAAAAGGAAGTATAATTTTTCAGTTTGCTAGTTTTTTTAATTGGTTCTGGTTTACTGGTCATTCTTTGCAATATTGTGAAAAATGTATTCTCTGAAACAGTTTACCAGTATCGCCCTCACACAACCAAGGCAAAATATTGTTGGTCATGTAGTAGTCACACATTTCATACTCCCAGCACGTCTCGCTGGTACGTGACACATCACATCACAGCGTGCTCGTAGCTAATCGTATTCCCCACATTGCTGTGGCACAGTCTGTATGGCAACTGTCACTCGCACTATTTGATGTGTGCTGTGTGAGTAGTGGCAAGCAGCTCATTAATTATGCCTATATGATTTTGTTTCAGCAAGACGACGATTTGCACTGTTAAGCACTGTTAAATACTGTCTAATTGCTGCTTATTATTCTGCTACTTATTTTAAGTACATGCACATGTTAACAATAGCTCTAGAACGATAGCCCTAAGGGCTATAGTTATAGAGCTAATGTTAAGTCTGCAAGAGACACTCATGATGTGACAGTGTATTGCATGCACAGTTACAAGAGACACTCATGATGTGACAGTGTATTGCATGCACAGTTACAAGAGACACTCATGATGTGACAGTGTATTGCATGCACAGTTACAAGAGACACTCATGATGTGACAGTGTATTGCATGCACAGTTACGCAGCTTTACACGATTCACAGACCCGTTTATCTGTAATATTTGCCTCGATCTTTTCATTTGGCTTATTGTAGCAGATGGGGTCGTTGTCGTATCAGGTACTACAGATATGTACCCGAGGTAGTTTTAGGTTGTTTAGTATTATG